GGGGGGAGTCGAAGCGGCGAAGGAAGGAGACAGAGGAGGGAGGAAGAAGATGGGGAAGGAAGAGGAGGAAGAAGTGTGATTTTGGGGGGAAGATGACAGTGATTTTGGGAGGGGTAAAATTGGGTTTTTTAGGAAAATATGAGCTGGAGTCATGATGGAGGGGTTTGGGCAAAAATTTTTCAAAATTTTGGGGCTGCAGCACATAACCAAAAGTATGAGGGGCTGGGTCACATGACTTTTTGGATTTTGGGGCCTTGAAGCAATTTTTCCTAAATACTAAGCATATAAAAATTTCAGCACACAATTGATTAACGTCTCAACATAACTACATAACAAAACTTTAAAGATCATATTTCAATTTATAATATACTACTTACAATATAGCATTCTTCTCGTTTTCATTTCTTGAAACTACTTCATGATATCTTCCTCATAAAAAATGTTGAAAAATATATCATTTTCAATATGAGGTACAAAAGCAATCATCACATATTAATCTCCTAGCCTATTCGGGTTTGGAACGTTAATATTCTTAATACATTTTATTTTTTTTGGTCAATGAAAAAAGTATATTCATTTACCAAGTAAAGAGTTTCTGTACATCAAAGAACTCATTTACATGAGAAAAAACTATATGGCTCCCGTGCATACACACCAGGAACACTCAATTAAACTACTGTAAGGGAACAAAACATCCTATAAAGATAAACTCCATTCCTTGAACTCAGCTGAAAGGGAGCTGTTATTTAGGATGACAGTCAACATCTCAATTTTAATGCTTCTGATCAGAAGAGCTGCATTATGAACTTCCTGCTTGAAGATTCTGCTGTTTCTTTCCTTCCATATACAGTACACTGTAGCTGCAAGTGCCATTCTTTTGGTTCTTTGCTTAAACCCCTTCCCTTTCAATCTGCAATTATACCAATCCATCAGTAGATTCCATTCACATGCTCTCCATTTGTATTTTAGCCAATCCATGACCCCATTCCAAACCTCTCTTGAGTAATTACATTTAAAGAAAAGGTGGTCTCTATTCTCTGTTTCAGCTCCTACACATAAACTGCAGCTATTAACTTGGATGATTCCTCTTCTTATCAACTTGTCCTGTGTAAGAAGCCTATTCTGGATTGCAAGCCACAACACAAAAGAGTGTTTTGGGTAGTTGAGGTTCTCCCAGACAGTGCTATGCCATTGTACTCTGGTTGTTATTGGACATAGGCATTTATACAAACTAGAGAGATGTACCTTTGGAGCATTGTAGCAAGAATTGATTAACAACTTCAGATTTCCAGCACCTCCATACAAATTTAACATCTTATCCCTGACCTTTAAAAGCTGTTTCCAGCACCTCCATACAAATTTAACATCTTATCCATACAAATTTAACATCTTAATACCTTTTATTGTTAAAAATGCTTTTTAACACTTAACATTACAAATGACAAGATTAGTGCTAAGTTCACTAGCTTGAACACCAAAGAATAGATAAGTGTCCATCTTCCATTCAACCAAGACTTTATTAAATGGGTTAACTATGGATAGATGCCATGCAATATGGCCCAGTTGTGGATAAGCCCTTGTATAATTTTGAAAATTTTACAAGAGTCATAGAGTTTTATAGATGCAAATAGATTTGTAGTTCTAGTGGTGCAGATGGACAGCCCCATTACTAATTTTCTTAACACTTACATGTGTAAAGAAAAAAAAAATAATTGAGGGGTTTTATCCTTACTCGGGTAAATACGACAAGAGACAAATCTGCATAATTAGAACTATAAGGGTCTTTTTGCAATTGGGCGATACTACAAGGACTTTATTTGCAATTAACTCTTATTAAATATGCAACTTTAAAGTTGCATATTTACATCACTGTTGACAGTTGCATAGAGAGCTAGAGAGCAAACGAGAACCGCAAGAGTTTTTTTACACATTTATGCTTTATGCTCCCTCAAAAACAGTTATTAGCTACCACTAGTCCTAGGTTTTTTATCCTACCATTTTTGATTGTTTGTTTTCCTTGAATATTATAATGGGCGGGGTGTTTTGTTGGGAATTTAACGCCGAAATCCCTAATGCAACGGAAACGCAGAATAGAAAAAGTACACCAAGTTTTAACGAGGTTCGGCAACTGCCTACGTCCTCGGGAGCCACACAGTAAATTTCTTATTAATCAAACAAGAAATTACAATTTAAGAGCAAATCCCTAAACTGAGATTTCTCAGATGAACACTGTAGCTACAGTGTTAATAATTAAAGGGAATAAACCCTTTCAATTTTCACTTGAGATTAAATAAAACCCCACAATATAAAACCCCTCTTTTATACTCTCTCTCTCCTTAATCCTTTCTTAAACTCTTAAATATCCCCTTCAAACACTGTTGAATGAAAGCTGGGATTGAAAATCGCTACTGCAATTTTGGGAGTGAACGCTACTGCGTTAAAAGGATTTGAACGCTACTGCGTTAAAAGGATTCGCCGCCAGAGGGAAAAATCGGAGGAGAGATCGGGAAAAGAAGGAGCACCGAAACCCTAGGGTGATGGGGTGCTTTTATAGGCGAAATTGATGGGCTGGCGACAGCCTGTCGCCAGCGCCCGAACTGAGACGCGAGGGTGGGAACGACGGACGCCGAGGTCGGAGCGATCGAACGCGAGGGTCGAGTGTGCGTTCGAGGGTCGCGTCTTGCTCGAGGGTCGCGTCTTCGACTGGGGTTTCGCCGTCGACTTCGCCTGCGTCATCTGCGCCATTCTCGAGCTCGTCGGAGCTCGTCGGAGCTCCTCCGCCGTCGGAGGTTTGTATCCACCCCCAAATCTAACAATCTCCCACTTGGAGACCAAACCGACGTCAACAGGCTATCTCATCAAGCTCCTCTCCTGTGTGGCTCCGCCTTCATCATCTATGCATGAAGGCCAACTGAAGTTGCGCACAACTCCAGTTTCTGAACTGTCACCATCTTTGTTAACATATCTGCTGGATTCTTACTTCCTGGAATCTTTTCCAGTTTTAACACGTCATCTTCCAACAGGGATCTGATGAAGTGGTACCGAAGCGCAATATGCTTCGTTCTAGAATGAAATGCTGAATTCTTCGCCAAGTGTATCGCACTCTGGCTGTCACTGTGCAAAACATTCTTCTCCTGTTTGAATCCCAGCTCTGTCAACAAACCTTGAAGCCATATCATCTCTTTACTGGCTTCAGTCACTGCAACATATTCACCTTGAACCCAATCCATCAGTAGATTCCATTCACATGCTCTCCATTTGTATTTTAGCCAATCCATGACCCCATTCCAAACCTCTCTTGAGTAATTACATCCAAAGAAAAGGTGGTCTCTATTCTCTGTTTCAGCTCCTACACATAAACTGCAGCTATTAACTTGGATGATTCCTCTTCTTATCAACTTGTCCTGTGTAAGAAGCCTATTCTGGATTGCAAGCCACAACACAAAAGAGTGTTTTGGGTAGTTGAGGTTCTCCCAGACAGTGCTATGCCATTGTACTCTGGTTGTTATTGGACATAGGCATTTATACAAACTAGAGAGATGTACCTTTGGAGCATTGTAGCAAGAATTGATTAACAACTTCAGATTTCCAGCACCTCCATACAAATTTAACATCTTATCCCTGACCTTTAAAAGCTGTTTCCAGCACCTCCATACAAATTTAACATCTTATCCATACAAATTTAACATCTTAATACCTTTTATTGTTAAAAATGCTTTTTAACACTTAACATTACAAATGACAAGATTAGTGCTAAGTTCACTAGCTTGAACACCAAAGAATAGATAAGTGTCCATCTTCCATTCAACCAAGACTTTATTAAATGGGTTAACTATGGATAGATGCCATGCAATATGGCCCAGTTGTGGATAAGCCCTTGTATAATTTTGAAAATTTTACAAGAGTCATAGAGTTTTATAGATGCAAATAGATTTGTAGTTCTAGTGGTGCAGATGGACAGCCCCATTACTAATTTTCTTAACACTTACATGTGTAAAGAAAAAAAAAAATAATTGAGGGGTTTTATCCTTACTCGGGTAAATACGACAAGAGACAAATCTGCATAATTAGAACTATAAGGGTCTTTTTGCAATTGGGCGATACTACAAGGACTTTATTTGCAATTAACTCTTATTAAATATGCAACTTTAAAGTTGCATATTTACATCACTGTTGACAGTTGCATAGAGAGCTAGAGAGCAAACGAGAACCGCAAGAGTTTTTTTACACATTTATGCTTTATGCTCCCTCAAAAACAGTTATTAGCTACCACTAGTCCTAGGTTTTTTATCCTACCATTTTTGATTGTTTGTTTTCCTTGAATATTATAATGGGCGGGGTGTTTAAGTTGTAAGATTTAGTTACAGTTATGCTGATCTTCTACAAATAATTACAATGGGGATAAAAAGGTAATCTTAAAAGTGTTAAAACTTTAACAATAATTAGAGTGGAGGATAAAACGGCTGGGAGAATGCCTACAACTTTTGAAGGTTAAAAGATCATAAAACCCCCCTTAACTTTGGATGATTATCAAAAAACCCGCCTTTACTTTCAAAATATTAGCAAACCCCCCCTTAAGTTTAAGGGTTATCACAAAACCCCTTAACTTTGAGATTTTATCAGAAACCCCTCTAAATTTAGGAGGTTTTTCTAATATAATCTAAAAGTTAAAGGCAATTTTTTGATAAAATCTAAAAGTTAAAGGCGATTTTTTGATAAAATCTAAAAGGTAAAGGAGATTTTCTGATAAATTCTAAAAGTTAAAGGGAGGTTTTGAGGTAATCCCTATATTCAAGGGGGATTTTCTAATATTTTGGAAGTTAAGGGGGTTTTTCAGTAATCATCCAAAGTTAAGAGTGGTTTTCTGATATTCAAAAAAACCTTCAAAAAAAAGAAAAAGAAATAATCGTGATGTAACCTTTTATAGCAAACTAGCTAGGATTCCTAAACGAAGAGTAAAACCATTAAACCTTGAAAAAAAATCAAAATCAAAACTCGTACTTACGGAAAATAGAGACATCGATTTGTGATACATAGTCACGATTCCGTAAGAAAAAGAAAAAGAAAAGAAAAAATTACTACATCTTGAATCTCAGCTTTGACATCATGACCGTTCTAGGCTCGTACCAGATACTACAAGGATACCAAATCGAATCACGATACCCAGAACTCTTCAAAGCGCGCAAGGAATAGCAACACACGCCTGGTTTCTCTGTTGCCTCTTGCTTTCTTCCTTCTCCAGGTGTTTGCTGCGAAGATTGTTTCGGAACGAAGAACGCTCTCCCTTCAAAACGCCTTATCTCCGCTTCGATCGTCTCGGGTTTTCCGATCAGCCTCGAAACGAGGACTTTGTTTTTCATCCTCTTGGGGCGGTTAGTTGTCACGAGAGAAACCCCAGGGCCCGCGAACAGCGTCGCAGAGCTCAACGTGATGACCCTTTCCCAAACCATCTCCGCTTCGTTCAGGCTCACGACTCGGACGGGCGGGTTGTGATTGCCGACGTGAACTGCCAGCAGCTTTCCTTTTGATTCAACCAGGTAGCTTTCTTCAGGTTTGTAGGCGAAACTCTTCGGACTGGCGAGAACTTTCCATGTAGCTCTTTTCGGATTGAAGACCCCGAGATTTCCCTCCACCCCCAGGCAGTAGAACCTACCGTTATGTACCGCGGGGCTTGAGTAGGGGGCAGCTACGAACGGATAGTCGTTACCATATCGGATATTTGAAACCCATCCTCTACTGGGCCGCCAAATGCTGATCTCGACAGAGCTGGTAAACATACTGTCAATTGCAAATATCGTACATTTATGCGGAGGGCGTCCGGAGAACGCAATCCCGCTGAAGCTATTTAGAAAAGGCAGACCAGGAAAGTTGCGCATCAGGCTGGCGACTGGATTAGCCAGTATGACCTCGTGTTCTCGATAAAGCACCAACCATCCGTCTTTCGAGGAATAAAGCTCGCATTCTGACAAGTCAAGCGGAGAAGACACCCTGAAGCTCTTGTTTAGGGAGGGGCTGTAGCAGTGCAAGATACCATCTCCCCATCTCTTGAAGTAGACCAGAAGAGGACTGATATCAGCAGGGTATACTCTAAAAGTAACATCGCGCCAGCTCTTGCATACCGCAGAAAAGGAAGGGTGGTATGGTAGTGGGAGCCGTGATAAGATCACCTGTAGAAGCTCGCTTGGGAGATCCGACCATGGCCTGTCTTCCATGCTATATGTACTTGATCTCTGCGTATAAAAAATGGAAGTAAAAATAATAAATCAATATTTTACACCCCTCAAGAAATTTCCTGAAGTTCCCGTAATTAAATTTCTTGATTTTGTTAAAAGTGTATTCGAGGGAAGTCAAAGTCTCAACTTTAGTTAGCTTCCAATAAAAGAGCAATTTAATTACTAGAGTTTTCTTTTCGACTGCCTATCGCTACTACCTTTATAATCATAATTTTGAATTCAACGAAAATTAGGACGATGTGTTAACTTGTGACTTCTGGAAACTGTTTTACGACAATGATAAAATTTAGTACCCATCTTATTCCGGAAAGAATACTAGAGACTTCAGTTCCAATGACCAATATTGAATTAGGTGAAATAAATCAAACTGTGATCAAACGGTAGCAATAGGTAATTTAGGAGAAAAACTTCACAAATTGCTCTTTGATTACAAGATGATAATTCTGTGTGGTAAAAGAAAAAAAACCTTTGAGTAGTTGCTGGAATTTGTAGACATGGAAACGAGAGATCGATGACTTGCAGCGCAATCAATGCAAGCTTGGGCAGACTAGAATTAGATATGAGTTAGAGCAGATCGAGAGACTGATCCTAATGATGTATATATAGAGGACAATATTAGGCTAATTAATCCCATCTTTCTTATTCTCACCTGACTTATGTAGAGCTCTCACCTGACTTATGTAGAACTCTAAACCTTCTAAAATTAGGAAATTACTACGAGTCGCATAATTCAGGAGGAAAGCCCACAAAACATAAAATTCTAAGGACAACGGAGATCTTAAACTTCTAGGATTAGGAATAGTCAGATAGAGGGGGGTCTACTTAAAAAGAGTGGTTAGTACTCTATCGCCCCAAAAATTTAACTCTTCTCGGACTTCGATGCCTGAGTTTTATTTTGACAGTTTGATATCCATAATTTTCAAATTGATGTTAGTTTGACAATCTTGATACCCTGAAGTCCCAGCTTTAATTTGTTCCTCACTTTCCCCAAAACCCAGAAAATTTTAATATGATAAAAAAATTCTCTCTCATTCACTATTAATTCTGAACAACACGAATGTCGCACTTTAGGGTATTACATTGTCAAAATTAAAGAATAATAATAAAGGTGAAACCCTGGAGTATAAAGCGCAAATAGACCCTTTAAAGAGACCAGAGCCATACAATTGTGAATTTGTACAACGATACTCTTTTGGCAAGAACTCTTGTCACTCAATAATAGCTCATATATCGATCCCAAAATTAATTAAGGTTGTGTGGGTACTTAATTAAGAACAATGAAATATGCCAATTTGGTTATTTAGCCCTTTTAAATGCATAAGGCACGAAGTACTATGCGTGTATAATTATATTCGATAGTGTGACTTACTGCAACAGTTGTGAATGTTACACTATTTTCCTTAATTACCAAAAAAAAACAACAAACTACGCACATGGGAAAAGCATAATATCAAAGAAAACTAGTAACTATGAACAAAAACAGTTAAAAGTTAGATATACATATGTCAGGTATCTCCCTGAATCTATATCACATGAAAATAAACCATAGTAAGAAATATTTTTAGGGTCCCAAAAGTTATAATAACTCCATGTGATATGAACAGGTGAAAGGAGAAACATATGCATACCTGAGCGTAGATTTGTATTAACAGATAGCTTAGTTAACACGAGAAGGCTTGATTATGCTTATGAGCAGCACCAACAGCACAAGATCGGAGGAGTAAATATGATTTAAATTTTTTTAGAATAAATCTTATGTACACACTCATATATATAGGGCCGGCTATATGGACTAATTATAGGAATAATCCCTACTCCTATCGGAACTCTGAGATTAATTAATTTTTCCTATCAGGACTCCTGGAAGATTAGGACGATAACCTTAAAAAAAAAGAAATTCTGATTTCTTAAGTTTTCTACGACAGCCTTTGTCGAAAAGTCATGTGTACGAGTAATGGTCGGACAGAATAGATAAATGTGGCCCATAGACATAGCCCGTTACAAGCCCAGAAGCTGAACTCACAAATAGCTAGGCCCAGAGTAATCAAAGGGACAGTAGCCATGTAGAGTTCATGATGCTTGGATTGATAATTTCAATTCTAGTCATGTAGAGTTCATGATGCCTGGTTTTTCAGATCATTCCTCTGCAATAGTTTGAGGATACTTTTCAAGGGAAAAAACCTTACAAAATTTATAAAATGTGGATCAAACATGACAGTTATATACCTACAGTTTCTAATATTTGGCAATCCTTCATCCAAGGATACTCTATGTTCTCAGTTTATACAAAGCTGAAAATGCTAAGAGGAGCACTGAAGGATCTCAATAAGAAGCACTTCAATAATATCAGTGAACAAGTGCTAAGAGCAAAAATTGCATTAGAGGAGGCACATAAAAATCTTCATGTAAACCCTCTAAATCCCGTCCTTATTAGTAAGGAAAAAGAATGTTATACATCTTATAACAAGCTCCTAGACTGTGAGATATCTTTCTACAAGCAAAAAGCTAGAATTGCTTAGAGTGTGCAAGGTGATAGAAGCACCATATTTTTTCATGCTTTAGCCAAATCTAACATGCACAATAATAGAGTAGTGGTCCTATACAATAACAGGGGTGACATGATCAGTGATGGAGAAGCTATTGTGAAGGAATTAGTGTCTTTCTACAAAAATCTTATGTGCAATGCAGTTAGCACTTCTTCACCAGACATGAACATCATCAAAGCTGGTGCAATGCAGTTAGCACTTTTGGGGATTGCAAACACAACTTCAATCACTCTTATATACCAAAGGTACAATGTCCAAAAACCCCATCAGATTTCAGACCTATTTCTTGTTGCAATTGTATTTACAAATTCATATAAAAAATAATTGTAAATAGAATTAAACCTCTAATGGGAAGTTTAGTGAATGAAGCACAGAGTGCTTTTGTCCAAGGGAGGCAAATAACTAGCAACATTATGTTAGCTCATGAGCTTGTTAAAAGCTACAACAGGAAACACATCTCCCAAAGGGCCATGATCAATATTGACATTAGAAAAGATTTTGACTCAATAAGCTAGAGCTTCATTAAAACTATTCTTCAAGGTCTGGTTTTCCTAATGTCATGATAAACTGGATAATGGTCTGTATTACAACTCTCAAGTATTCTATCTCTCTCAATGGTGGCCTTCATGGATATTTCAAAGGGGGGTGTGGGTTGAGACAGGGTGATCCCCTCTCTCCCTATCTCTTCATGCTAGGAATGGACTATCTTGCAAGGAGCTTGGCCACTTTAAAGGATGACAGGTCTTTTAAGTATCATCCTAAATGCAAGAATCTCCAAATTTCTCATCTCATATTTGCAGATGACTTACTATTATTTGCAAAGGGGGAAGCATATTCTATGCAAAAAACTCTATCAGTGCATTAAATCCTTTGGTGAAGTGTCAGGATTAGAAGCCAATCTTGATAAGTGCTCAATTTTCTATGAAGGAGTAGAGGACTCAGTTAAAATAAACATTGCTAATATTCTTGGATTTGCAGAGGGATCAATGCCTATAAAATATCTGGGAGTTCCTCTTATTACAAAAAGACTCTCCTACAATGACTGCAATCCTCTGTTTGATAAGATCACAAGACAACTGCAGAACTGGACTAAGCACAAGAAATTATCATATGCAAGCAGATTACAGATTGTTAAAAGTGTGATTCTTGGTGTGCTTATCTATTGGACATCAAACTACATTTTGCTTGTAAAGGTTCTTCACAGAATAGATGAAATATGTAAGAAGTTTCTATGGGGTAAAGATGATCACTCATCCAGAATGTCTCTTGTAGCATGGGGAAAAAATTGTTTAGGGATGAAACAAGGTGACCTGGGGATTTATTCAGCTCAAATCTGGAACACTGCCTCAATACTAAGAAGTATTTGGTTCATACATTCAAACAAGGAATCTTTATGGATAAAATATATTCATGGGAATTATCTTAAACATAGAGATATCTGGCAAGTTGAAGCAAGACTAGGAGACTCGTGGATGTGGACGCAATTAATTAGAATAAGGAACAAGGTGATGGCTGAATTAGGAGGAGCTGACAATGTCAAGACCCTTATCATGTCATGCTGTGTGAACTCAAAGCCAAAACTGTCAGCATTATACAAAAGCCTATCCCCTGTATCTAACTCAGTGCCATGGCACAAAACAATATGGGATGGTTTAAATGTGCCCAAACATTCTTTCATCAGCTGGCTGGCGATAAAAATAGGCTTCTTACGCAGGACAGACTCTTGAAGAGAGGAATAATCAATGCAAACCTGTGTTGTTTATGCACAGGGGCAAACATTGATACTAGAGACCATTTGTTCTTTGAATGCACCTTCCTGCTACACATGGAACTCTATCATGGATTGAATGAATTTCAAATGGAAATCTTGCAACTGGAGTTAGATTTGGAACAGATTTTCAAGATTGAGAGGAAAAACTCTACAGGTCAAGTTCAAAAGATCAGTATTGACAGCTTCAATCTATTGCATATGAAGAGAGAGGAATGCACGGCTATTTACTCAGAAGTTTAGCAATGTAGATCACTTGATCAATGTCATAAAGTTTGAAGCCTCTACCATCATTTTTAACAATCCCCCCTAATCGGGATTAACAGGTTTATTGAGGATTGTAATTGTTTTTTGTTTGTGTTCTCAGTAACAAAATACTGAGTATTTTGAGTATTTTGAGGTGTACATAACTTCATATATGGTGGATGAATAAAGTTTTTTTCATTTACAAAAAAAAAGGGACAGTAGCTAGCAAGGAGGGTGGATAGTAGGTTGCCAGAGATCAGGGGAAACTTTAACTGTGGAGTAGTCGCACATGTTTAGTTAATTATGTCTAGCTTAAGGCTAAATTATAAAAAATACCATAAAGTTTCACGTTTTGTCAACTATATACCACAAGTTGCATTTTTGTATAATAAAATATCATAAGGTTTCTAAAATTTACACATTACTATCATCAATCATGCAAACGTGGAAATTTTCACCCAAATATTCTTTATGATACTTAAATACTAATTTTAGAGATTTGTAACCATTAGAATTTTTTAAATTTTTTATTAGAAATATCTTAGCCCTATTTTAAAGTAGAACTCAGAGAGATTTGGTTACTTTGATAGCAAATTTTAAAAATACTACTAGTTAAAAAGCTCTAAAATTAATATGTAAATATCATAGAGAAACATTTGGATAAAAATCTCCATATTTGCATGATCGATGGTAGCAATGTGTAAATTTTAGGAACTTTATGGTATTTTATTGTACAAAAATGCAACTTGTGGTATGACAAAATGTGAAACTTTATGATGTTTTAAAAATGTGAAACTTTTTTAAGTTTCAACTTGTTTGATGTAATAACAAAGTAATTTAAAAAGGATGCATGAGCAAAGAAGTTCTTGACATCACCATTCCAGAGCTTGAATCACACATAGCCAGAATTCCATCGCCAGATACATCTATATTAACTGAGAGAGCTATATTTAAGCATCAAACAACGTTATAGATCAATTAAATCAGAAATTTTA